TCTTAATGTTTATCCAACCCCCCCCCCCCCCCAAACATCTCACTACTTTGTTGGTATGCAGACCATGATGCTAGGCACGTGCGGGATGGAGATGTAAAATAAATCTATATTTATTCTTTTAAACATATATGTTATAAGATTTAAACTTTCTGAAGTTAATGTATTTATTTACAACACCGTGAGTCATTATAATGTATCAACCACAGTAAGAAGATTGTGAAGTTGTTGCAACCTGATGAATTATGGTTTCAAGAAGTCATACAGCTATTTGGGCTGCAACATTTATGCAGAACTAGGTATACTTTTATTAACTATGGTTCGTTGTCTGCTATCAATGAGAGATGGCACACAAAGAATTCTTCATTCCATCTTCCGATCAGTGAGATATCCATCACACTTGGTGATGTGCAATCCCTCCTACATCATTTGGTCAGGGGAAGATTATTAAACTACTTTAGACTCACAATATCTGAGGAAATGGATATGATGGTGCAATATTTGAGAGTTGACCCAAGTGATTCCCAACAAGAGATAAGTGACGCCATAGGATGTCATGTCAAGTTTAGATTTTCAGAGAGGTTGTACAAATACCACATGGATGTGGCAGTTGAGGCTGGTGGTGATGATGCACAAGTAGCACATCATAGAGTATGTGCATTGAAGTCATGCCTCTTGTATTTGGTTGACACATCCATATTCGTGGATAAAAGTGCATAATATCTTGATGTCACCTACCTAAGATACTTCATTGACTTGGAGAGGATTCATGTGTATAATTGGATGGCCTCTTGTTTGATTTACCTCTGCTTCAAATTAGGTGAAGCTTGTTTATGGAATGCTAGACAAATACCAACAAGTAACACCTTATTTACGGTAATCTATTTGCACCTTTATTGTTACTAGTTTTTCATAACATTTGTGTTGTTACGTCGTTACTAACATTACATTTGAACCATTTTTTCAGGCATATATCCTCTAGCATTTTCCACGCCTCTTTGGCTAGGCATTTGTGGATGACTATGATGAGGCTTTTCCACGTGATTGATCTTTTATCACGCTCAGATGAAAATCGGGCGACCGAGTCATTTCGTGTTTATCTTGACTGTATCGTGGCAGATAATATAAACTTCACATCATACAACGATCATTGTGATACACGTCCCTTCAATGAGATATCTTTATACTCCTGATGGATGGCTTGTGGGTCACAATTGATGTATACATATCTATTTGACTGAGTCATTAGGTCGATTGATTATCTGCATAATATTGTTAGATCCCCAAAGTACCATGATCCTTTAATCACATGGGATGTACATAGTGTGTCAGCTCCTCAGCAATGTAGTACTACATACTACTGCATCCAATGGTTTTTAGAGTGTCATATCCTTACTTGACATCGGATGCAGAGGGAGAGCCACCTAGATCATCTCATCAGGAGATATTTAGGGAGGAGTGTGCTAGGGCGGACCATGTCATTGATGTGTTATCTGTATGTCATCGTATTATGGCTACTGGGTGAACGACTATACTATAAAGGCCATGATAGCTGAGACACATAATGCCTTTTAGTACAAGAGGTAGAGAGGAGGAACCGTTGAATCAGATATACCAAGTAGTTAATTTTCTCCTTCAAGAGATTTAACACTGATGCATGTCCAGGACAGGGATCGAACCTAGGACCTTTGATTAAGCTGGAAAAGGCTCACTCCATCTCATTCAAGTGCTCTTGGGTTAATATAAGGTATTTTGATTGAATTACATAAGCGTATAGTTTGATTGAGTTATATACGGCATTTTGATTTTATTTTGGGATTAATGTATGGTTTGATTGAATTATATATGATTTATCAAAATATGTTAAATTTATAACAAAAATATTATCCAAGAGAGAAAGTTACTATTGTTAGGGTTAATACGGAACTTTACATCCGTAATATCCATTGAGTTGTGAAATAAACACACTATCATGAATTTAAAATATTTTTAATAGTTAGTCTGAAATAAAATCTACGGACTCACTCTTTCATCAATATGGATGTTAACTTCTGTATTATTTTTTGACAAAATGAGAGTGACTTACAAATTATTTTCGCGTGTATGGAAACATCCTGAGACTAACTTTCGTAATATTTCAAGAGCATTTTTGAATTTTTTAAGGGTGGCTCTTCATCCGAGAAAAAAATCTCCCACTGCAATGGTAAATAACCTTGGGATCAGTTATTTTCGTATACTCTAGGTACAAAATTCTAAGTTACTGAATTATTGAGCTCTTAAGTATGAATATGTTGACAAAACAATAAGCATGAATATATAAAATTAAAATAAAATCTGGATAATGAACAATTTATTTTGTTTTTTTGCTCAATAATGAACAATTTGTTTTGTTTTTTTGCTCAATAATGAACAATTTGTTAATAATCATTATCTTAGTTTTGACATAGGACATTCAAAACCTTAGGTACTTGTATATAAAATTTAAAAGAACGGCTAATCTAAAATTTTGTTGATTCGATGATACTCTAGTAGAAAGAAACAACTCTCCCAGAATTATTAAATCAGGGCAGTTATTTGTATTAGAATTTTCAGACAAAGTGTTTGGTTTGTCACGCACGACAAAGAAGAGTATAAAATACATGTTTTATTTTCACAAAAGGACATATTTATGAAGTAGTTAGGTATAGTACATGTGCTCTCTTTAGTAATACAAAATATAGAGTAATGTAGGTTTTGTCTATGTACTAGTATATATCTATATATCTAGATTTAGTGCATTGATCTTTCGACAAACTGATTTAGTACCAGACCAGAAAAGACCAAACGAGTATGTATAAATATGTGGAATACAAGTTGATGAAAATGAGGTTCGAATCCACATGTCTATAGGTTTGGTTCACATGATAATTTATGTAGGAGTTCTTCCCATCAACAAGTTGATTTCAAATTGAAGCAACCATCAATTATCTATCTATACACAAGACTTCTTGATCAGATTTTCATTTAATGATATTGTGAAAGATATGTGCCAGAAATTTAGGAGTTGAAATTTCTGCCAAGTAATACTCCCGCAAGAAAAATATATAATTATATAAACGTGCATTATTCATCTGCATGTGCAGCTATAAATTTCCAACGCTGGGCCGAGAGACTTGTCAAGCTTATTCAATTTGAAATATTTCCAGTTACATATTCCAATTGCTTTGTGGATTTGTAATAAAAAGATCAGTGAAGAAGAAGAAAAAAAGAATGAAGTGGTTTTGATTAGTCACCATTATCGTAAAAAAATTGATGTGAATCCATAAATTCTAACTTAGCTGACAAAAATTGATATTATTAAGTTAGCCATCAACATCAAAATTTAAACTCTAACTCACGGTTATTTGTGACTTTCTAATGGTTATGGCCATTTATATATATAATGCATCTTGATTATTCAGAAACAAAAGAATATAATACATTCATGAGGATGAAGAGATATTTGACTATTATTCAACTAACTCGAGAGCTAATATTATGCTTGGCTCAACAAGCAGAATTCATTAAAGCTTCATACATTACCTGGCCCTAGCTATAAATGTCATTACTAGTCCTTAAATAGGTGTTCAATGATCAACAAAATTCCCACGGATATGCGCTTTTCCAGAAGTGACTTTGTACGACAAAATATTTTACAATTCCGGCAAACTAAGAGGACTACAATGATAATTTAATTTCAAAGATAAAGCTGTGATCAGTGGGCATAACGAGCCTACATATATCAAAAAAGAATTATACAAAATGAATATCTATAAAGAAAATCACTAATATATAGCTAGCTACCTTATAACTAAACTAAGCAGTCACAGCTTCTACGGCTACAGCTACATGTATAACATCAAATGCAATTCAGGCTCCCCAGCTACATTTTTTGCATAAATCAATGCTTTTGCAATACGCCTTGAAACGGGTCTCACATGAATCGTATGACACATTATCCATACAAGAAAGAAAAACCATTTGAAACCACCCAAAAACCTGCATCCACACAAGAGGTACAAGAAAAATGCTAAAACTTCCAAGTACAAGGTTTATTGACAACTCACGTTGTGCATGCTTCACTACCATATCTGATGTTACCATAAGCTTAAATATTTACGTTAGTCTCCCAAATAAGATAATCATTGCTAGTTTTTGGCTTCATCTTTTACCATCTTCTCTGACTAAATCAATTGTGACCATTTTCAGAAAAGAGCCGCAAAACAATAAATTTTTAAGGAAAAAAAAGCAATAATCTCCTACTTTAGTTTTGGGAGATTAAGAACATAATTAGGCCTATCAATGCTATCATTAATCAGGGAAAGATGGTAAAAATATAAAATATATAAAGAAAAAGTGGTTTACCACTTAATGTACATGCAGTAAATACTAGTAAATTGTAATAAATAAATAATGTGAGCTAAAAGTTTGTTGCTTCCACTCTCTGTAGTCTGTTCTAGGTCTGTTCCATGCTTGAATTACTCTTCAATTCTACATTCATGGCCCCAAACTCACTCTTTCTATGTTGTACTTTTGGTTTCAATAAATGCAGATAGCAGTATTACGGGTTTTTTCTTCTTGGAGTTCTTCTGTACCTTTGGCGGCGTTTTCAGATACCATATTTATTATATCTCATTCCCACGAAGTTATTAGGACAGCATTTAGTAGGTTAATTATGTTTGCAAGTTATTATCCTATTAGATGAATAACCTAATTTCTGTTTGAAACCACTCTAGCATTTTATTTGTTTACATGTCCCAACCATCTCACATCTCCTATTAATATCTTGTCTGGGTTTCAATTAATCCTATGCTTCTTGGTTCATTATACTTGTATGACTTACTGGGTTAGATTTGTCCATCCAGCAGATACATTTGGCTAAAGAAAATCTCGATTAAAATTTTGGATAAATTTCAAGGGGTCAAATACTCACCAAAAAAACTGCAACATGTAGGAATTACAAAAACATGTATGTTCAAGACTGATCAACTGATAACGGGTTGAAATGACGTTTTGATTTCATCATAAAACCATCTGCAAAACAAGTCAAATCATCTTAAGAACCCTCCCAAAATAAGAACAAACAACATAGCTGTGGTGAAATACTGAAATATTATCGAATATCTGAAAGAGTATAAGTACTAATAGGATATAGGACATAGACTGTGCTCTACCAAATAGAATTGATCAATGGATGTAATACAGTAATAACTAATAACTAATAATAAAAATTATATGACTAATAAATGATTTTATATTATACATTTTCATAATCTTACGTTTTGGATTGGACCATACTCATCCTAATAAAAATTGACTAGTAAGATAAAGGATAAAGGGTGTCTCTTCTTTATAAACAATTTATGTGTCTTGTCTCTTTTTAATGTGGAACTTCAACTTTTTTATAGTAAGCAATCTGATACCATCTCGAGTTTTGAATTGAGTCAAACTTATTTTTAAAAACCTGCTTCTAAGATGAGGAATCCCCCTTCTTGATAAACTACTTTTAATATGGGGCTTGAGTTTTTCCTATAAATAGCTAAAATATCAACCATGTCAGATATGAATATGATGATGTCCAGATTTAGTAGTGATACAGTGGGCATACAAGCAGAGTACAATATCTACACTGATACTGAATGCATGAACCTTAAAATAAGAATTAACATGATTTCAAATACTAGAAGTTGAGCATCTAAACCATATAAACAAAGGAAATGAGACTAAAGTAGTTAAAACATGATATATTTTCTTAAATATGCTCAGTCATATTGGCAGGCAGGCAGCATGGAAATATGTTTCAATTTCCTATTTTTATCACCACTTACAAACAACAAGCCTAGTTGATAATTATATTTTGTTAGTAGGCGCACAATCCTATGCATAAAGTTTTTCTTAACTCTCAAACCAACAGCTAGATAGATGTCATCTTAATAAGTTCTCATCTCCTCAACCATATGTAAATAGCGAACTGCATGTATCAAAGTATGGAAAGTGCAAAATCTGACAACAGCTTTTTCCCATATACCGAATCCACACCACAAAGTAGATAAATAAATGACCCATTACACTATTAATTAGTTATTTAGCTATGCCCATCCACTAAAAACATGTGAAAGAAACCCCAAATTCACATGATTTTAACATCCACCGAATAAGCTTGAAACATAGTTGTCAATTCCAGATAGAGGAGTGGAGCAGCTGAACCCAGGGACAGAACTAGGTATAGGTTTACAAGGGGCTGTCACCACCACCCCCAAAGAAATCTTTTTATCAGCATCTATATTGTATTGTCATGTACTCGACCACTCAACCCAACTGTTTTAAGCTGTCAAAAAATTTATATACTACCCAACAACAAAAAACACTATAATTATCAATGGTTCAACACTAATGGTGTAACAATCATTCTTGTTGTTTAGCAAAATATTAAGGAAAAATAACCTTATATATAATGTAGAAAGTTGAAAGAACTAGATATAAAAATAACACTAAAAAATATGTTTGTATTGCTAGAAGCTTGGATAATTATATAGCTTGCTTGTCAAATTTATTTATGAATTCTAATTGAAATAACTAAATGGCATAAGAGGAGTATTCAAAATAAATATTTTTAGGCTACTCAAGAAGTTAATTTCATTTTTATAGTTGTATCAAAGCTTGAAGAAAACAATCTACAAGTTGGTATTGCTTATCTACCATGTCTTAACTTCACTCCCCTTAATACTATTTTCTGGTTCTATCCCTGGTTAACACCAAAACTGGGATGGCGGCCGGAGACAGAGCAGTCGCTGTTTGAACTATTTTAAATATATATCTAAATATTTGCATACTAAATGTGTTTGGGTAATTATTTTTTACAAAAGCAAAATACAGTTTTTACTAAAATAATATATTAATTTTAGAATTATTTAATTACGTTATTTTTTAATTTTCACTATTCAGATAAAACATGACTACTTCATGGTTAGATTGACAACTATGGGTTGCACAACTTTGCAGCAAAAGACATTAAATCCCATATACAAATTTATTCACGCAAAAGAAATAAGCCTTTAATTTTCATCTGAAGCACTCCATGACTCATGTATCAGAGAACAATATCCTTAACCCCGAGAATTAACTTAAAAAATTTACAGAAAAAAAGAAAACTAAATCATTATGAAAATAACCACATCCACAATAAACAGATAGCTTCATATTTTCACTAAATGCAGTATTCTGAATCACTTAAATACAGAGCACTAAATGATACATAGAAAAGAGTATCCAAACAAGGTTAACTTAACACAACCATTCCATGTTTCATAGTCCCAAAATTTCCTCTACTTGTATTTTACCATTTCCCCTCCGTCACATGTAATTGCTATAATATTATAATATGCATCTAGTAAATGTAACAGGCATAAAATAAAACAAAACAGAATGAAATAAAAACTGTTCAAAAAAACAAAGGATACAGAAACAAACCTGCAAAGGAAAATGGGCTGTACACTAACAGTTGCTACAATTCCAAATTGAGATCTTCTGTCATTTTCTTGTTTAAATTTATCGTATGGAAGGACTACACATGGGCCTCGGATAGAGCTAGCCATTTCAATCCTATCACTATTAGATTCATAAACCTTCAACAAAGAAAAAAGAAGACATATCTATAAGAAAGTATCAAGCAACATCAGGTTCTAAAACGTTAAGTAAGATGTGTAGCATTATCATTTCACTGGAACACCAATCAAACTACTGTAGAGGTTACACTCGAACTGTTACCCATGTAGTCAATAACGGCTGGCGCGGCGCAAATTTTTGGGCATGGTCGCTTCCGGCTGTAGCGATTTAGCGCGACTGGGCAAAGCGGCCGATAAAGTGGGTTCGGGCGCGGAGCAGGTGCGGTCCAAAGCGTCGCGTTTTCAGAAACTTGAAATCGGGTCGGGTCGGCCCAAAAACCAGACGTGTTAAAAATGTTTTGGAACCCTAAATCCGACCGTTACAACACCTTTTCAGCAATCGACTCTCTTCTCTCTCTCCCATACGACTAAACCGTTCAGCCTCCATCTTCATCGTTCAACCTCCATCTTCATCGTTCAGCCTCCATCTTCAGCAGCCTTCATCTTCAACTTTCAAGTCTGCTTCATCCTTCAGCCTTCATCTTCATCTTGCTTCAGCCTTCATCTTCATCTTGTTGACTTGCTGGTACTTCTTCTTTAGTTTTGTTTTTTTTCTGTTCTCCTTCTGCTAATTTATCTGTTTCTGTTCTGATTTTTTTTTCTTCTATTCTGTTTAATGCTTCAGTTCTGGCTTCCGATTAATTCTTTTCTGGCTGCTACTTGCTTTTGTTGTTAATTTATTTATGTTCCCACCAACAGCTATGACAACTAATCCTCCTACTAGTTCTGCTCAACCATCATCATCCGATGTTCCATCCGTGGCTTCTTCGGCTGCTAAGATACACAAACCAACCATCATCAGCCGATGTTCCATCTGTGGCTTCTTCGGCTGCTAAGATACACAAACCAATCGGTGATATAGGTTGGAAATTTAACCATTTGAAAGACTTGAATAATGAGAGGAGGGTTACATGTGATTTTTGTAAGAAACGTTGACCGGAGAAATTTCAAGGGCTAAACAACATCAATTAGGAATAAAAGGAAATGTGAAGGCTTGCACTCAAACACCGGACGACGTTAAGTTAATTTTGCAAGAGCATGAAGATAAGAAATTGGCTGCAAAGAAATCAATTTCAGGTGAAGTCCATGAAGATGATGATGAGGCATCACGGCTGCTAGAGATATCTAGGATTCGAAGTGGAAAAAGGCCGACCGAAGAGGGGAGTATGCCGGCTGCCAAGAAGAATACAAAAGGCCCCTTGGATGTAATTTACTATAGAAAACCAGAGGAAAGTTTGAAAAAAGGAAAGCAAACTAGCATGAATGATGCTTGTGATAAGAAAGCAAGAGCAAATTGTTGTCAATACATAGCCCGTTTCTTTTATCGGAATGGAATTGCTTTCAATGTTGCAAGATCAAAGAGTTTCAAATTGATGGTTGAAGCAATTGGTATGTATGGTGCACATTTGAAGCCTCCAAGCTACCATGAGTTGTGAGTTCCTTTGCTTCAAGATGAGTTGAGACTTACAAATGAGATGTTGAGTACTAATAAGAAAGATATGGTTGTTCCATAATGTCTGATGGTTGGACTGATACAAGGGAAGAACATTAATCAATTTTTTGGTGAATTCTCCTGCAGGAACAATGTTTGTTAAAAGTGGTGATGCTTCGGCCAACATGAAAACTGGACAAAAGTTGTTTGAGCTTATGGATAGCTTTGTAGAAGAGATCGGCGAAGGTAATATTGTGCAGCTAGTTACCGATTATGGAAGCAACTATGTCTTGACTGGTAAGCATCTTCAAGTATCGAGGCCAAAAATATTTTGGACTCCATGTGCTGCTTATTGTCTAGACTTGATTGCTAGAAGATATCGGAAAAATTCCAAGAGTCAAGAAGGTTATACATAAGGGAATGACTCTTGTGGGCTTCATTTACAACCATTCTTTGGTTTTAAACTTAATGAGGGAGAAAATTAGAAAGTGAGTTGGTTAGAAGTGGAGTCACAAGGTTTGCCACAAACTTTCTCACTTTGCACAGATTGCACTCTCTAGAAGATATCGGAAAAATTCCAAGAGTCAAGAAGGTTATACATAAGGGAATGACTCTTGTGGGCTTCATTTACAACCATTCTTTGGTTTTAAAGTTAATGAGGGAGAAATTAGAAAGTGAGTTGGTTAGAAGTGGAGTCACAAGGTTTGCCACAAACTTTCTCACTTTGCACAGATTACACTCTCTAAAGGCAAAAATTAGACCCATGTTCACTTCTGAAGAATGGTTGAACTTGAATGCAAGTAAGGAGGTGAAAGGAAGCATTGCAAAAGAAGGCGGCTGCACCTCCACCACCTTCTTCATCTAGATCTAAGGCAAAAGCAAAAGAAGTGGTAGTAGTAGATGATGAATTTGGTGATCAAGAATATATTGGAGAGGATGAAGAGGATGAAGAGGATGCTAGTGGCAAAGGAAGTGATGATGAAGACTTGGATTTTAATGATTCTTGAACTTTCATGTTTAGTTATTTTAAGATTTAGTTGCTTAAGTATTTGTTTTCTTGAATTTTATTGTGATTTTAAAGTATTTTGCTTAAGACTTGTGCCTTCTAATGGTATTTGGAATTGAAAGTGTGCTATTATGTATTTTATTGCTCAAGACTTGTGAAGTTTGAGTTTTTTTATGGTATTTGCTAGTATGTTTTTGGCATGTAAGTGCCTATATTTTAGTGTCCGCGTCGCTCCCATTTTGGGGTTGACCATGCCGCACCGCTTTCCGAGATTGACTACATAGACTGTTACTGAATTTGCTTTTGATATAACTGTCATTCATGTGAATTTATGGCTACAAAGTTGTACTATTATAATCCCTTTATTATAGGAACTAAATCTTACTATAATTTCTTCTAATTACACCAGAAATCATAACTGTATATTAGGGATTACTTACACAGGAGAAATAACGAAATGAATATATCATCATATGATTTGGAACTAGTGCTGCTGACGTCCCAACCTTGGTGGTAGGGTTTCTGGTTTGGGACACTACAGTTTTATCAGGCCCCACCAATGTGAGCTCTGAACCCAATTGGAACTTGTTATTGAATTTCCTCAAGAGATTAACCCTCAGTCATAAGAACTTATAGACAAAGAGTTGTTGTACAATTATAATCTCTTGATTATAGGGATTCCATTTGTTCTATAATCTCTCCATATGGCATCAGAATTATATAAAGAAATAGAGTTAGAGACTATTTGCCTATGTTGTATAAGGGAAAGAAAATCTCATCATAACTCAGTTGTAACTCCAATTTGAGTACAAGTGTAGTGTGTGTATGACCAAAATCAATGTAAAACTAGGGAAAAACTGATTGCTTAGATACCAATGACAAATTTTCACACTTGCGAGAATGAATTGGCCTCCATTTAAGAGGCACCTTAATTTTTTTACAAAGATGTACAAATAAAATAAAATAATAAAATAATTGTTACCTCGTTGACTTCAGATATACAAGGATGACCAATATTTCCCGGCAAATCATCAGGAAAGTAGCACTTCGTTGCCTTTACCCACTTCATCCCAGTTTTGGAATCTTCCCACATGGACTGAAAATTAAATAGGAATAAGTCTGTTAAAATTCTATAAATTTATATAATGACACCATTTTGCACAGGGTACAAACCAGTTATTAATTAATTAAAATCACAATAGAAACTGTAAAGTGCACCTAAACAGGAAACACAGCTTTTTACTATTCATATGCCCTTTGCAATTTTATAGGTGAATTTATACAAGTATGCAATAACCAAGTGCTAGATTACGATAGAATGCATGATAATTTGCTTGCCTGAAGTTTAGAAGGTGTCAGTTTGCCATGGTTAGATGTGAAAAAAGCATGACCATGCACCCTATATGTTACTCCATCAATGCAGCAAGATTGGTAATACTTTTTCTCATCTACGAGTTGAACAACATCACCAATCCATTCTACAGCATGTGAGCTATCTGAAGATAAAGCAGAGTGCTGAATACCTTCAGTATTAGTTCCAGAACTTCCAACAGAAATTGGTTCAACATCTAGATCATCGCGCTTGATATTGTTAGTTATATTTTCTCCTCCATGAGATTCCTTTTGACTACTAGTCATAAAACTACTGCTATCATGTCTATCTGGTGATATTTCAGCAGTGTCCTTTGATACTGCCATCTCAACTTGAGAATCTTGTGATGATTGCAAATTTTCACATTTAGCCGGCTCGGATGATTTAGGAGGAGTTTCTGATTCAGCTGTATCTTTACAGATCAAAGCCTTTGAATCTATTTGTTCAGCGCAACTTTCACCCTGCAAGCCAGTGGTAACACTACAAGCTGCAGACTTCATAAATATGCTTGGATCAGGCTTCTCTTCAATGGTTTCAATGCTAGATGAAATGTTGGAACCTTGTATATCTCTTGTATCTGGGGTATTTGAGTCAAATGATGGATCAGTACTGTGATTCGCACTGGAAACAGTTGGAACAGAGTTTCCATTTGTTGTAAAAAATTGCGGGCTGACCTTTAGATCTAAGCTATCTGCTTTCTTTTCTGAAGATGGTTGAATACCAACTGTATTAGAGGGAAAACTTGGTGATGTAATTGAAGATCTCGTCACGCGGCCATATTTTGGAGGCAAAGACTTTCCGCCGCTTAAACTCAAGCATCTCGTGCAGTGCCAATCAACTCTATTATGAATTCCTCTGATTACTGATGGCTGCAGGCACTTTAAGTGAAATCCCTTTTCACAAGCATCACAGAGAAGAACAGAATCAACCTCACTGACAGTGAGCTCACATGTCTGACATGTGAAAGCTTTATTCATATAATCCCTTGACGGAGGAGTCCATGTGCGATGTTCCGGAAACTTTGGTAGTAACAATTTCTGGACAATCTTTGCAATATCAGAGTGACTAGGAATCAAAGGAGGTTGAACCATGTTCCCACCCTGCAATGGCTGGTGCATACTAGACATATTTCCAGGTCCTGTTTGAGTAATAAACGGTCTAATGCTCTGACCTGTTGCTACTTGTGGACCTGCCCTCAATACGGTTGCATCAGCAGTTCCTTCCACCTTGGGAGGATTATGAGCAGGCGCCTTGTTTTCTGATACGCTTCTAGCTAATGACACGGGATGAGTCTGTATTGACCATGTAGGAGCATTCACCAGTGATTGGTTTGCCAATGAATTTGCTGCAGTTTAGAAAAGTTCTCAAATTCAGTTGCCACTTCAATGACTGAAATGTCATAAGGTACAATTATATGCATATTATTAAGAACATACAGCGGACTACTAGTATTGCAAACTACAAACAAAAGTAGGAAAATCCCAGTAAAAAGTTAAAACCCATACTTTTTCCAATTTCCATAACTTTCACCTACAAATAATAAAAATTGGATAAGAGACAACTGAAAGACTGGGTCAGTCATTCAATTTCAGACTCTTGAAGAATAGGGAAACGATAACAAGTTATGCCTGTTACAAAAGGACTATATCAACTCACTAACTTCAAAAGGACCTACATCCACACAAATCTAATGAACTTTCAGGTTTCTTTATGCATCATTGCATTCAATATTCAATATATAGGAGAAATGCCTGGAAGTAAATAATAACCAAAATATGTAAGCATTTAGTTTTATAAAATAGAATCACAGCATAACAAAGTAGGAGTCTGCACCACATGTTCAAATCATCATGCGGCGAGAACATATTGATGTTGCACTAAAGTCAATTCATCAATAGAAAATGTAAGTCAGCCACCCTTTGGAATTTCGGATTGGTGAAAAGCTGCGGAAATTACCTTGGACCTGAAGCACATAAGGAGCCCCACTCAATCCTCCAGTAACTTTAAACTGTGGGTTTTCAACTCTAGGCAATGCTACAGAAGATGGATTTCTCCCCATGTGACTGCTAGGCATTACACCAGAAACAATGGGTGGTCTGACTTCATTGCTGGTTGATTGATATTGCAATGCTGCAGAAGATCCTGCAGAAAGATGGGGAGGAATAGACACCATCGAAACTGAAGAAGTTACTGCCATGTGGTTTGATTTATCAGACGAGAACATTCGAACAGTATTTGTTGGAACATGATTGTCAACCATTCCATCGGTGTTTGTTTGCAAGGGTTGAGATGCATATGTTGTAGAAGATGCAGATAATAATTTCCTTGATTCCTCCATCTAAAAATCAAATTAAAAAATATCAGAAGAAATAGAAAACAAATGTGAAATGAACTCGCCAAAACACTCGCAATAGCTTCCTCATTAACATCACGTGCATGCTATAAAAAAGAAACAAAAGCTTTTACTTAGCTAGGAAACAAAATTAAAAAGCATATGTCAAATTAGCAGAGTTCATCATCTTTCCAACAAACTCCACAAAGGACCTTCAAATAATATAAGATTAAACGAGTGGTAACAGGAAATTTACTGAAAGAAGAATAACCTAATACTAGATGCAAAGGTTTTAAAAAACAGTCTGTAACGACGAAAACAGCCGCGACAAAACGGTATCAGCATGTACCGATACCGTTATTCACCGCTTTTATGTTAATGAACAAATTTTAGTTAATTCATACTGCAATGACAGTAATTTACGTCGCAATTATGCAAGTAGTTAAGTAGTATTAAATAATGCAACTAATGACATACAACAAAGACACGAAGTTCCTTCTGATTCTACAAATCAATAATTCAAAAAATTATAAAGTTGCAAAAGCTGGAATTAATTGAGTTAAGAACTGAGAACTTGAATACCTTCGATTTATTGAAGGCATACTTCTCGGCAATGGACATCTTAGGAGCACGAAACCCTAACCTCTGGTCCCCAACCTTAGCATTCAAACCGAGATCCTCAATAACGGCACCAATAGCTTCACGAGCAACAATATCCTTGGGAGCAATCCCCTGGCAGAGAATTGCGAGCTTACTCCGCGCCTCTCTCATGAGTTCAACCTCCACATCAGTCGGCTTCTGTCCACCTCGCATCGTCGCCATCGTTGATAAAACCAAAACAATCTCCGCCACTCGTTTCAATTCCGCCTCCGGTTTATCAACTGCGTCAACCCTCGCCTTCTTGCTACACGGTTCCTCCGATGGTTCGCCTCCTCCGTTCTCGACCTCCGGTGGAGGATCTACCGAAACATCGTCCATCAGAGAGAAACCCTAGAGAAGGGGAAGAGACACAGAGAGAAAGGGAGGGAAGAAGAAGAAGAGAGAAAGAGATTTGAAAAAATGAAAAGAAAAAAAGAAAAATTGGAAGCGGTAATTTAATTATAAATATAAGTATCGAGTGTTTTTTGGCGGGTAAGTGTTAGTGTGTTATTGAAAATTAGAGTTTGGGAGAGACGAAGAATTGGGTAAATTGTATTTAGGTATTGAGATTGAGATATTTGGGATGAGTTCGGTTGAGTTAGTGAAACACAGCGAACAGCGCGTGCGGGCGTGGGTAGCTAGAGAGATAAGTAAATTAAAAGCTCGTTTATATAACGAGCCAAGTTCCTTCCGTGGCTTGTCACATGATATATATATATATATATATATATATATATATATATATATATATATATATATATATATATATATATAAATAAGTATTGGAAAAAAAATACATAAATAACCATGTTTCAGAGAAAATTACGTAAATAATCATGTTTCAGAAAATCGCACAATGGAGGAGTCAAATGAGATGACGCATGCATTCACTATTTTGCTCTATGCGTCATCTCACTTGACGCATGCTCTCTATTTTAGTCAAGTGAGATGGCACATGTACTATAAAAAGGAGAGGAGGCGTCATCTCACTTGGTTACTATGAGCAATTGTGTTTTCTATAAATAAATCACCTATTTCTCTGTCATTCTTCACACTTTCTCGCACTGTCTTCTTATTTTTTCTTTGTTATTTGCGTCATGACATCTCCCATGATTTTCACCAGAGATGAATACGTTATTTTCTCGGCCACCAAACCTCCGATGAAAATGAAATTCTGGCACATTCACTTTATTGAGCGTTTGAAGATAGAGTTGATGTGATGGCTATAGGGAGACATCGAGGCTGAAGAACAAATTAGAAGGATCCAGAGAAGAAGAACATTCACCTCAGTTGCAACTAGAAGACCTAATTTTTGGTTGGAGGAAGTCAAAAGAGACGGAGACGTAATGGTGATGATGCATGGCTCAGATGAAATTGTTTTGACGGTTGTAATTTCTTAGATGTTTTATCATGTTTTTATTTGTTATTTGCGTATGATTTATTGTAACAAATGCTCTTAATGAAAAACAGTAATGTTTAAAACTTTAAAAAGTGCAGATTGTTTGCATACTATTTTTATGTTGTCGAGCTTGTAGCCCGAGTGGGACAATTTTTTCGATTGTTTCTGATCTGACGACATAAACCACACATTCTTCCTAGCTTGTCAAGAGAGTCCATTTCAGTTGTGATACGCTTGTTTTTGGGACAACCCTTTTTATTCCTTCGCATTTGATCATTGTGCCATATTATTTCCCCGTTGTATGTAGGCCAATAATCAGGTTTTGCTATCAATGGGAAGTCATTGTTGTATACGTCGAGCAAGGTTTCGGACTTGTAAATGGAAGATAGAAGTTGGTCTTGACGGTTGATTAAAACCTGGAAAGTGGCTGGAGGATGATCTTCAGTCGGGTTGTATGCTGAGGAGAAAAATGGGGGTTGTACTTGCAAGACACTCCAACGATCAAGTAAGAGCGAGAACAGGGAGGTACAAGTAGAAATATCAGGTAGTGAGTAGTGAATATTGGATATCTGGCTCTCACAGGTGTGAGGGTTTATATAATTTTCATGGCGCGTGGCCATTGGTTCCTGGTTTCCCGCATAGATATGTGAGTCTGAAAAATCAGGTAACTTCCAGGACTTGGTCAGACCGGGCGGATGTGTCTGTAACTAGTTGTTGGTTCCAAGGAGGGGACTAGTTACGGGCATCACTCCGGCTGGTTCCTGGTGGTATGCACGATATTGGTATCGGGAAGGCAGAGAGGGAGCTCGTCGATCATCAAGGACCAGCGCCGGTTCGGAAGGGCAGATGGATGGTGTTGCCCGACAAGGGATAGCCATGCAGGCGATCTAGGTTATGGTCGGGCGGGCCTGACCCGTGGAGATTTCTGGGAGTGGGCCAACCAAGCTGTCGGGCCAGTCCAGAATAGAAGTTATAATGTGTTTTGATGAGTATACGTACATGTCACAATGACATGAGAGCAAGGCATATGAAAGGCTTAAAACTTGCCACAATCGCACCAACGAGATGGTAGTATAAACTTATACTATTGTCTCGGCATCCCCTTATTGTGGTCGATTGTCTCTTTGACAATGAAGTTGTGGTTGTATCGGGCGAACTTTATAACCAGATGGGTGTTGGCTTTGGCACTTTCTGCCTTAATATACTTCATGAAGCTTTCACTTCATAATTGTCCTGATTGTAAGACCGCATTCCACATTTCACATCTTTTGGCAAACAACAAAGTTACCCTAAAATATGTTGATTTAACCAAAGCGGTTACTGAGAGGTTTCGTATGTCTTTGAATACATCGTTCATGGATTCGATAAGACTTGTTGTCATGTGGCCCCATCGTTGTCCATTGTCGTATGACCTTGTCCATTTCTCCATCGGAACATTATTGATCTACCTACCTGTGTTCGAATTTGACAATCTGATCTCGTTGCGATAGTGTTTGAACGTAGGTTGTGTTAATGCATACTTCGTGTGATCGGTGGATCTGGAACTGACTGTTTAACGCTGGTTCGCGAAATGTCGCGGAAGCAAGAGTCGCCACCGTCTTTTATTTTCTCCAAATGGAAAGGACAAAAGCACAGAAAAATTCCTTATAGAGATTGCTCTCGGTTCGGGAGGTAGATTATAGAAAGGGAAGGTGTTAGCACCCTTTCTATCCATGGTTATCCATGGGCTCTTAGATACTTGCTCACTTGTGTTTTCAAAAATGGTTTGTTTGCTTTTCAATGTGGGTTTTAAAAAGTTTCTTTGAAAATTCCAGTTCGACTCTTGTATCGGTCCTCAAGAGTGTTTGAAAAATTGCTTTCGAAAGCTTTTTGAAAAGGTGTCGGTGTGAAAAGTATTTTTGATTTGTTTTGAAATTAGAGCAAGTATCTAGAGTCGTCTACCTACCCTAAGGAATTCGTCTGTGTAAATGTCCTTTAAGGTAGTGCCATCCCACCATTGAGAGGTAGGTAGCACCACCGTTGGAGGTGTTCGGGTCAATTCGAGTTTTTAGGGACATGGTGATCACCAGAGCAATAGGAAGACACCTTAGAAGCTACCCTCATGCCAGGTTCCCGGATCATGAGGACTTACTAAGACGTCCTCTACTCGACGATCACCTTTCGAGGCAAGGCAACCGTGAGGCGTACCCTAGGGGTGGTGTGTGATTTGTGTGTCGTTTTCAGATATTTTGTCTTTTGTCATGTCATTGGTGATCTAGCGCTTGTTTTTATTTTTGTCCATTCATTCTTGCATGCTTTTTGTTAACAGTTAAAAGTTTGCGGGAAAGTAAATCTAAAGCTATTACAAATGGCGCGGGTCCACATCGCCAAAATTAAACCGGACCCGATTTGACAGAAAAGTAAAGAATTAAAAGAATTAAAAGAATTAAAAAGTGCGAGAAGTAAATGTTACAAGGCTTCGAGAGAGGTACATAATTATTCAAGCGAAATAAAATAAATATGCGAATTTAATTAAATCGGAACGAGGGCGTTGGACCCTTTTGCAAAATTAAAATTATATGAATTTATTAATTAAGAAAAGAAATTGTTTTTGTTTTTTTTTTTAGTATTTTTATGTATTTTAGGATTTAATGAAAAAAAAAAGAGTTAATTAAAATAAAAATAAAATGCTAAACCTAATTCTAATTATTTTTAAGTTATTAAGAAAATATTGTAGTTTTTTAACCTAATTTAACCCTAAGTTATTTATGTACAATTTAATTATAAAAATAAACAAATAAATAATATTATGGTAAAAAGGAAAATTAAAAGGAATAAAATTTATTAAACCTAATTCTATGTTTTTTATATTTTTATTGTGAAAAGAATTAATGTTGCAAACCCTAATTTAAACTAAATTTATTTATATGCATTTATTTATAAGAAAATATTAAAATAAAATACTTATTATATTTTTTCATCTTTTCTGATTTTTATGAGGTTTTTGTATTTTGTAAAAAAATAATTAATTAAATTAAAACAATAAAGCAAATAAAACAATAATTGAAAAATAAAATATAAGAAAAAATAAAAAGAATTGCAAACCAGGGGGGGTAGTCCCCAAATAGAGGTATGCTTTTAGAAATCCAGGCCCAATTGATCATGGCCTTGTGGACTTTTTTGGGTAGTGTGCTGGCAAGTTGACTCAAGCGTAGGGTGTACTTCAGATCTAGGCCTTTGGTTTGATCTCCAGGGGGACGTGTCACACTTGATTTGGGAGTGCATGGTATGTCTCAACGTAAGCGCTGCATAGGAATTCACATGGAAAAATAATATGGAAATTATACAGACCTGGGGCTCGAACCCAGGTCTTGGACGTTAATGCACTCCTCGCTTGCCAACTGAACCAAACAACGCATTTGTTATATAATCAACAAACAAATAATATAATAGAAAGTGGATCAACGCTTGGAAACGCGCGCGAACTTTTGAACAAGCCAATCACTTGTTGCCACGACTCCATCGTCTTCACCATCCCTGAAACATAAAATACGAGGCAACGGTTTTTGGGACGTTCTCTTAGGCATGCTATCAGAAAATAGCGATTAGGCCTGTGTTACTCATAAATTGATCGCGACTATGGATTCTTCTTCGTCCAAGCTTGCTGATTACAATTATGGTATTGAGGTTCTATAATTTTACGCTATGTGAAAACGCCCAATTTCCAATTCTGAAAACCCTAGATTTTGGCAATGGTGGAATCGTCTACAGCTTGCAAAAACTCAATTAAACGCATGGGTTAGTTTGCAAATGCTTCACTGATCATGAATATACAATTAGAATGACATGAATGTGCATAAATAATGAAACACGATAATGGAAAAAAATGGAACAAGAGGGGCTTCTGTATACCGTTCCAAAGCGCAAAGTTTGAGGTTTTTGATTGGAATGTGATCAGGGA